CTATCGATTTTATTCTCCTTGGAACGCTAAATATTCGCGCTGATTCGCTCGGCGATCCCGAACGGACAGCTTAACCCGCTTATCGAGCGACTCTTCCGACACAAACACACGGTTGACACTAATAAATTTAATCTAATCGAGATCCCGCCTCGATCAACGTAAACACACGACGGTTTACGCGATCGTAAATACTTTATCGTGACTTAGGCTCGAGCGCTGTCGTCCGAATGCTAGGGGAACGTGAAATAGAGTACGATCAACGAGCATAACTCGTCGTCGTTCGCCGGGCTAATCGAAACGTTCGTCCAGTGTGTTTATCGAGCGTTGCTCTATCCACTTGAATCCCACCGGGGACCGTTACGAATTCTCAATGAAACTAAACACGGTAACACCAATTAAGTGAGTTATTAACCCTTTCGCCACGCCGCTGTAACACGCAGTTCTGCCGCGGAGCGCGAGTTAACGATGTCCGTGCCGCGATCGGTGTTTCGTAACCGTAGTATCTGCTAGTTCCCTCATAGTAACAGAAAACCTACGCACAGCCTTCGACGGCGTAGGCAAAGGAGAGACCATTGTGCGGTATGTTTTTCTCGAAGAATCACTCAACGGATCGTGGCTTAGTATATAAATCGTCGGGCAGTTCTCGATAAGTGACACTAATCTAGCTGATCCCGTGTTATCTATCTCGCCTGTAGTCACGGTATCAATGAACCTGAGTCGCTCCTCTGTCTCTCGGGAATTCAGTACAGTAGGTAATAGCGCAGAAGCCGTTCCCGGCCGGCGAGCAAATCCGTTCCTGTTGCATCGACAATTATTCCGCACTTTCTTTTCTAATTAGAAGCTGCGTCTCGGTACACAGACGGTAGGCGATTGCAATTATGGAGATCCGTAACCGGCGCGGTTCGACGTAAGCTCGCGTATTCGTTGGAATTAATTAACGACTTAATTGCCGGGAGGATCCCGTGCCGGCTCGTTCCATCGAAAGCTTTCGAGCGTGTCCGTACGTATCGTTGGGAACGCGGCGCCGCGTTGCCTGAGAACAGTGACAATTCGAGCGGACGCGGCTCGGTTCGATCCCTCCGCCGGGCGGAACGCGAACGGGGGAACCGTCGCTCGCGGATTCAGCCGGCCGCCTCTCGAACGGAACAGGCAGACTCGTTTCTTTACGCTCTTCTACCCGCGAAACACGATTCCACGTTGTTCATGAAGGAATCCCTGAAAACACGCTGTCATAAATCTAACGCGTCGTAAAGCGATCCCCGCGAGGAGAGGAAATTAACACGCGAGGAGAACGAATTTCCGCGACAGAAGCGGTTTCACGGTGAAACGCGACAACTGCCGCGAATTCACGCTTTAGTGCTGGCTCCACTGCCGACGAGAGTTCTCCGCGTAGTGAGAAACACGGAGTTTCTCGTTCGGTTTCTATGTCTAGAGACGAGAGCCGGACTTATAGTAGAGTATAGTTACAAACCGTTCGATCCGTTTCATGCAAACGAGCGCGGCCCATTCTGTACGTCGTCGCGTCGGGTCTAATCGGTCGTAAGACATTTTTAACCAAGATGGAGGAGAGGGAAAATATTCGAAAGGAATGGGAGTAACGTTTTAAAAATACTGCCAGCAAATTACCTTTCCCGAGCCGGCGGTTTAGGGTACACGGATTGTACCTGAAAACGGAGATCGAAACGTCTGTGCGGGTCTAGCCGGCCAGTCCGCTAATCCCTTTACGAAGGGTTGCCTTGTCTACCCTGGCAATCCTATAAACTCCGACAACGGAACACCGTTCGGACGTCAGCAGTCTTTTCTTCGCCGATCAGCGGAGTCTTTCAACAACCGCGGCCATTAGATTGTCTCGGATTTCCGGAGAGCAATTGCTCGAATCGCCTTAGAATTTAACGCGAGCATTGTCCTCCTAATCGTAATTGGCCGTTGCGCAATCCCAGCGTGAAAACGGCGAGCGGGCCGCGAGGGTCGACGGGGAAAAACGATTGTTAATGCGCGGCGTTATTTAGGAAATTGGGGCCGACGATTCGCAGCTTGACGCGATCCAGGCCGGAGATACGTCGCGAGTGAAACCACACGAACGGGCACACGAACTGTAGAAACCACTCGCGCGGCGAAAAAGAGAGAGAAAAGCTCGGGGGAACGGCAGACGACTCTGAACAGGTTCCCCGGGACTGTCAGCGGTGTGCGAACATTTTTCCAACGGGACAGCGAAGTGTCACGATCGTATTTTTCTACTCGGATCGCTTCGACGTTTCTATAACTATTTTTCCCGAGGTCCACCTCGGTGGCGATCTGTCCAACAATCGCGCGTGTGCAGTGACAAATAAATAAAAAAAAACTCCCCCGGAGACGCGCTCGGTGAATTCTTAAGTCCGAGTCGATTATCGCGCGCGTCTGTGCGACGTCAGACGCGATCCTGCCAACGGATGAGCGTGATTCTAGTGGAATGAATGAACGTGACCAGCCTCTGCGAGGGACGCGAGACGGTGGCTCGAATAGCCGTGAACACGTGCCTCCTGAATCGCCGAGGACTCGTGATACTCGGTATGTCAGCGCGTGCCAAACGCTCTGAGGAGTCTACCGTTATGATGTGCCACGGCGACGAGAGGATCTCAGATAGTAGTAGCTTAAGAGGATTCCGGGACTATTTCGAGAGCGTCTGAGAGAAACGTGTGAACGGACGTCGAATACATATCCGACAGCCGCGAGGAAAGGCGTACGTCGTGAACAGGCGACCACGGATTCAGATTCTTTTCTACTATTTTTATAATCGACGAGCGCGATCGTCCGTGAACGGAGGCTAGCGAGAGAAAGATGGAGGGACGACCGAAGATCGAGATCGTGCGCGTGCCTTCGAACGAACGCGGCAACTTCCGGTCCCTCGATGGTGTCCGCAGCAGCTACAATCACATTCGCGTGGGCACGTACTGCCCGGAGCCGGAAGTCAAAGTAGTGGTTTGCGACAGCAAACCGCCGATCGAACAGTCTCGGAAGTTCAAAAGGTAACACGCGCCTTATGCGGGACTTGCTCTTCCAAACTGACTAGATTGTGTTTCAGGAACCTGGGACCAGTCTCTAAACTGTTGAGGCGGCGACATCACGCCACATATCTCGCCACGAAATCCTGTGATAACATTTACAACGTAAATAGAAGTAGCAACTCGTTGGATTGGAGGGTCAGCCAGACCGTGAACGAACAAAGTAAGGATTTCAATTTTCATACTGGAACCATCGGACCACTCGGAATAACTGGTTTCGAATCTCTCGCCTCGCGATCGCCTTAATCATAAAGCGGGAAGGGAAATATGCATTTCTTTTTAGTCATAGACGCGTACAGGCTGCAATTTCGGCTGCCCGGTGGTTCTAGCTTCGTCGTAAATCCTAGACGCGCGTTCCAGATGGTGTAATTAATGTAAATCACGTTTCAGGCTTTCAGTCCCGACAAAGTGGCAGCTTAGATTGGCGAGTGGGGAGGGCCATCAATAAATTGCATTGGAGGGACACGACCAGAAGCGCGGAGCAACTTTCGAGAAGCGGACCTATCGGTTCGGATCATCTTCAAACGCCTAGCACGAAGTACAGCATCGAACTCTCTCGCGAACAGTGTTCGAATCACGATCGAGGATTCATTTGCGACGCGGTTCTTCCATTTTAGATCGAAACTGATTTCGCTGCTGCGACGACTTTCTCCTCGCCTTTCGCGACCCGGCAGCAAGAATTCCTTGCAAGCGTCGCCGACGATCTGCCCATGGGTGCAGGTTGAATACTCCTCGGAGTCGATCAACGAGGGCCTGCACGAAGACTCCCAGGAGGGCGATGCGAGCTTCCAGAGGGAATTACAGCTAAGCGAACTGAGGAAACGTATGGCTGGGATACCGACTACTTCTCAGGTGATTAATAAGCCGACCCGAGATTAATTGTACAGATTATGACGTATCACGTTTCGCGCAATTGGAAGCAATCGGTTCCCCGGACGTTTAAGTCATCTGGAACGAAGACAAATCTAAGGCGTGTCCGCTAATGGCTTCCGCCTCGGACGATCCGAGCCGAAGACTCGGACGCGGCTCGAATCGCGGACTGTCTTACGATAATTGTACTTTTATTGCTGCCCCGGCCTCTAATCGCCGGGCGCGTTATGATTCCTTGATATACTCCATCGAAAATCTTTTACGTATCAGGTTACCACAAAAGTCGTTAGACACGACGGGGAAGAAGGTTCGTCCCATCCGAGGATAGAAGTGCAACGTCCGGAAATCGAGACTAATAACCACAGCAAATCGTAAGCTTAATACCATATCGCTTACCCTTTCATATTTCATCATTTTTCTTGTGCTTACCTTGCACCGTAAATGTAGACACTTGCGATCCATGCATGAACCCCGATTGCACTTGGCTAACGAGAACCTGAGAGTCCAGCTATGTACGACACTTAATAAATGATTGAGAATGTTTTCTGCACTGTGGTTTTCTTAAGCAGCACGGGTCCCACGGACCGATACCCCCTAGAATCATGACTTTATATAATTAAGGATCTTTTTGGAGATAATAGAAATAATACAATGTTACTTGCTTGACGATAAATACTGACAATTTTTATTAATACGAATACTATGATACATTTGTCAAGCGAACGCGACTCGCTCACGATTCATTGTACAATTCCCAACTAGCCAACGGGATTATTCGTAGTATGTACAAATTAAATTGTAGAAGTAATCTGTACAATAATGATTCACGTATTTATGAACGCGACAAGTGCCTTGAGTTTTGTACACCAGACACAGGTGGTTGTTCTTCGCGGGGACGTGGATCAGTGCACCCTCTTGCTCCTTAGGATCTACGTAGTCTATAGTATCCTCCTCGGGTACGTGGCCCGTTTGAAATTGAATTATCACGTCCAGAGCTCCTAGTTCCGATCCAACCGTGTCATCCATGTCTTCCTCTTGATCGGAACATTCGAGAGAACAGTCCAATGGATCGGACAAATAGTCCCCAATGTCCGACACGTCCGAGTCATCGGTGTCTAAAACCCTGGCGAGTTTTTGGGGCGAGAGATTTTCTAATTTCACCGAGGAGGATTGTTGAGACAAATTTTTCTTCTTGGTTCGAGGGGATTTCCCTTTCGGGATTGTCTTCATTATTTCGTCTTCGTTCATCTCTTCGTCCTCTTTATTGCTTACAGGGCTATCACGGCCCGACCCTTGGCAGTCTTTATTGCTTTTACTTGTTCTTGGAGTGTCCAATGAATCTTCCTGACCATCGTCGTTTTGATTTATATTTCCGCTACTTGATTTCTTCTCGTTGATAGGGACAGTAGAATCGTTAGAGACCGTTTTATCGGATATCAATGTATAACAACCTTTGGACCATCTCTGTAGCTCAATTGTCATCTTGGGTTTCATGGTTTCCTTCTTTGGTACAAGATCCAATTCTGTATAATCTTTCAGCAATTGAAACATTGAAATAGATTTGAACATATTGTAAAATTGTTTTAAGACCTCCGGTAAAGTGTCTTCCTTTGCTACTTCATAATTACGGATGTCTGCTGGACCAACTTTCTGCCAGACTATTGCACCTGATGTTAAGTCTGTTGCCAGTTTCTCATAAATGTCGTCTTTCAGGAAATTAGATAAAAATGCAAATGACTCTAGTTCCATGTCTCGCTGAATCTCTTTCACAATGCCAGGAAATAAGTAGCACGATTTTATCCAATTGTCCAAAGGTACATGGTGGCTCACAGGTTCTATATAGTTTAATTCGATATCTGGTCTTGGCGGTCTGACACTGTCTTTTAAAGGTCCATGAAACCAGCCATTAATAGTCCAGCGAGACTTGTCTGCGGAAGTTACTTCAGCTACTTGATGATAAGAGTTATCTACAACTTCAAAAAATACAAGAGAATTGTATTCTGGTACTAGCGACTTTACAACATTTCTGGGTAATCCATTCTCATCCGTATCGAACAAATCTAAGGTTCCTCCGTCATCCAGGGTCCAATTCTTTGAAAGATATAATATGAAAGCAATTCTTCTATCGCCTATGTTATCGTCATGACATAACAAATAATCCGTGTCAGAATAGCAAGAGCTAGACAATGATATTTTTTTATTGAGTTTTATCTTAGTATTCTGCTCCATCCACGATGCTAAATCTGTTTGGAAGGTTTCATATAAAAATTTTAGGTTCTTAGTATCTACATTGGACAGATCGCTAGTCTGTTCGAACTGATACAAGTCTATACTATTTCTTCTACTCTTGACGTCCAACAGTTCATTTTTTATTTCATCCATAAAGTCCTCGTTGCAAAGAAAATTGGAAATTTTACATATTCTAAAGGGTTTCGATATAACTTCAAGATAATCCTTCTTCATATCTTTAAAATTATGCCAGTGTTCGCAAAACAGTGTTTGAAAGTCAGCAGAATAGACGTGGTTGGAGATAACGGAATGCTTGAGCTTCTTTATTTCCGGTTCTTCTTGGGCCATAACTTTACACGTTCTTTAATTCGGCAAATTAATATTGCAGCTTGTGTTCCCTTACGCTATCAGTCTTTTCTCAATTTAGCTACCTTGTCTGCATTAATAGTACATATCCCTGTTTAATTTATATAATAAAGCAGCTTCTAATTGACAAAGTACTATAAACTAGATCACATTTTTTTCTTTATCTAAGTACACAGATATGTGTCATGGTACACATTAAATACATACATTCTCTATACATAAAAAATCGTTTCCCT